AAAGACAACAAATTAAAAGGTAAAGCAGCAACGTTGTCATACATGAGAAAACAACTTGTGTGTTCATATTCGTTTCTCATAAAGACTTTAGAAACAAATATATATATATATATATATAGTACATTCTTATATTACTTAGATAATATATTGAAACAAAAACATAAATCGACATAGCCTTTTTATTAGATTTCAATTCTTGTTATGAATTTGTTTAGTTGAATTTATTTTAGATTAGAAAGTATTTCAAATAACATGAATGAATAAATGGGTTTTTGAAGTGATGCAAAATATTCAACAAATAAAAATATTGAGAAAATTATAGAATAAATTTAGAGGAAAGGAATGTTGGTAAAATAAATTGTGAAAACGAGATGGGAGAAAATCCCAACAAAAAAAACGAATAACACGGAATACGAGTCTCACATTGCACCCGAATTTCTTAAAATGAATTCGGTCCACTATCGATCGTTTTCAAAATAAAACAAATTGGGTTGAAATGAACGATTCCACCAAGAATCGAACTAGAAAAAAAAATACAGGAATTTTGCAAGAACATGAAATTTTTCAAAGAAAGAAAACCGACGGATGAGAAAAAAATTAAAATTGAGTGAAAAAGAAAATAAATAAATAAATAATAATAATAATAATAATAATAATGCATGATAATAATATACTTAATGAATATAGAACTTTGTATTTAGATGTATTTTAAGATCACGAGCAAAAAGATAATTTCTCACCAAATCTAATAATTTATATTTAATTAGTCAAATATCTTTAAAAATTTTAAATTTAATGTTATTGGGCTTAGCCCACGAGTTCTTATTGATTCAAAGTCCAAATCTCAATCTTGATATTCAATATAGCCTAACCTAAGTCCAATCATGGCTCAATCCAATCTGCACCATAGTTAATCTATTTTCTCCAGTACTATCCATCCACCTAATTTTACAAATACTATTTCAATTTATAATATATTACACAAATGTTATTACCTTTATATTGTACAATACTAATAAAATTAGGTTAATTTTTTTACATTTATTTCTATTACATCCCAGTATAATATTAATATTTTTAAAATTCCGTACAAAAAGCAAATGAATAGATAGATATAAGATGGGGGGATAGATATAAGACGAAGGGAGTATTATTATTGGAGTCCAAATTTAATTGATTGAGGACTCATTTTGTTTGGTTTTCCAAAGCGAAAGTACAAATAACTTCATCTTTTCTTTCACTTTTTAACATAACCCAACAAAAATATCCAAAAATAACTTCATTTCAGTTTTTTTTTTTCCCCCTCTATATAAATCTAACAAGTATAAATAAAAATATATTATTTTATTTCGCAAAATAATATATAATAAAATATGTAAATTAAAATTTAAATCCAAAACACAAAAATATTTGTTAAAAAAAAAAAAATTATGATTGAAGAATGTGAAGTTTGATAAAGAAGAACTGCTACCAGAAGTGGCATTGGTTGAAGAAGAAATTGTGAACACAATTTTATTTTGAATTTTTTGGACTTGCAGGGTGTTTTGAGGCCCATTTTAACTACACAATAAACAAATAGATAAAATTCTAGAGACTTATTTTTTTATTTTTTATTTTTTTCAATTTTTTATCATTCAATCTTACAGTTTATATATATATATATATATATGTATGCTGTTTTTTGCTATACAAAATATTATGAAGTATTTAATAACTATATCATCAAAATTTAAAATACAACATAAAAACAATTTGAAAAAAAAAAAAAAACACTAAATACTCACACACGCATATATATATGTATATGTATTATTATTTTTAAATAAATGTAAGATTCCAATACATGCATACATTCAAATTTTAGTTTTGGATCCTCTTATTATTATTATTATTATTATTATAAAATAGAATATTTTTTATCAAAAATTATATTTACATTTGAAATTTAAAGAAAAAAAAAACATTCAAACGTAAGGGTTTATTAAGTTTGATTTGAAATAAAAAATTTATTTAAATAATATTTTCATACAATATTTTTATTAAAAATAATATAAATATTTATTAATAATAGTACAAAATGAATAATATTAAAATTTAATTCTTATTTTATAATGTATTTTTGGATGGATTGATTTTTGGTGTGTGGTACGATATATTGTGTTAAAAATATAAAATATATTATTTTAAATTGAGTATTTAATTTTTTATAATAAGTGTTTAATTTTTTTGATTTTTTTTTATGTAATATAGAAAATTATATAAAAATATAAATAGTAGTATTATTTTTGGGAATCACAATTCCCAAGAAAAAAATGCTGAAGACCCTAAGTTTGTCAAACTTTCTATTGGATTTTTTTTTTGGAGTGGACTACTAATATAAGTTAGGGATCTTTCAATGGGTCCTCTCTTAAGCTTTTTCTTTATTTTGGGCCTTAAACTTCAAAGCCCTTTGTTTTGGTTGTCTTACAATTCCTTTTAGTTGAGATTAGAATTTGATGTTTTTCTTTTTTTGTTTTTTTCTTTTATAATGTGGAATCCGCAGCCGTTACTGTCCATCCAGAGTGCGCATTAGATAAAGGTGAAGATAAATAAATAAATAATTAAAAAAGATTAATTTGAAAAAAAAAAATTTTAAATCTAACTTTTAAAAGTGAAGATAAATAAATAAACAATTAAAAAATATGTTATCATACATTCAAGATCGATAAGCTATATAGCCATATATATATAAGAAACACACGAAGTTAAACCAAAGAACTTAAAACATCTTTTATTAAACAAAAGCTACTGCTCGGACTCAGTTTATCCAATCGAAAAATAATACCAACACCTACTGGAATGCACAATAACAACCAAAACACAACCGACATCCACGGAAACGCAACAAACACGCAAACCAAACCACGATATAAGGAAAATATTAACGATTTAAGCCTAATCCCTCCCAACAGACAATATAATCAATACACTGTAAAGGAATGCTTGAAGTCGTAAGTCGAACTGAGGAACAGCCTTAGCACAGGCTGTTTATCAAAGAACTCAGTCGAACCCTTCAAATCACCTGACAGATCACCGGAGAAACCCAATGAATATCGTTGGAATCGCCGTCGCAGGTTAGGGCTTTTAGAGAGAGAAATTGAGAGTCGGGGAGAGATAAACACAATGCGAGAGTGAGAGTCAGAATGTATCTCACACGAACTGGCCCCATGCCCTATATATAAAAGTCACTGTACCGGACCGGGTTTGGTTCAGCTGTGGACCGCCGGTTTCAAAGAGAACCAGATCTGGTTCGGGTTATAGGATCTGGGTTTCGGGTTGTGCGGGTTTGTGCATTACCGGCCTCAATTGTCATTGGCCAAAAATAACTCCACAATCTCCACCTTTTTGGGCATGGAGAAAGTGACACATCATGGGTGTCATCACGGTCCGAGCTTCGATCGCTTTCAATCTTTTAACCTGCGGACTTACTTACCAAGATTAGAATTCTCAAATTTTAAAAAAAAAATTCATGCCAACACACAAAAAACCAGAAACAGTGCTGGACCCAAAACAGAAACAAAAATAAAATAAAATTTTAACTTACAGTTTAATACCAATCATAATCAAAAGTATCGATATACACAGTTTTTTTACACAAGTTAAACTTCGAAAACGACAAAACCATAGTTCCCATACCTGCAAGGTTATATTCAGTTGGAATTTTTCAAGTTTCAAAAGATCTTTTGACACAATATCACGAATAAAGTGAAACATAATGTCTATATGTTTAGTTCAGTCATGAAAAACTGAGTTTTTACACATTAATTGGATGTTTGTAAGAGAATTTTTTTGCTAAATAGTAGAATTTTAGACAAAATCTTCCAAAAAAACATACTCGATAAATACTTATATTTGAACTAAAATTGATATATTTTAATTATATTATGATTATTATTATTTTTTTTCCATTTTAACTATATCAACTATTCTAAATTCAAAAAAAAAATTAAAAATATAACAAAAAATTAAAATTTAGACCGAAACAGAAAGATAACAGCCGTGTAGAATTATACATGGCCGTCTAACAACATGGTCATGTATAATTATACACTGAAATATACATGGTCATGTAACAACATCGCCGTGTATAATTGTACATGGCCGTGTAACAACATGACCATGTATAATTATACACTGAAATATATATGGGCCCTGTAACAACATGACCGTGTATAATTGTACATAGTCGTGTAACAACATGGCCATGTATAATTATATACTGAAATATACATGACCATGTAACAACATGGTCGTGTATAATTGTACATGGCCGTGTACTTTCCAGGTCAACTGCCACGTCACCTCCGTCATGTCCACGTCAGCAATTTCCGTTAGTTTTTTAACGAATGAGACCAAAATTGATAAAAATTGTTTATAATGGGACCAAAATTGATTGAAATTGTTTATATTGGGACCAAAATTGATTAATTTTGATTATATTGGGACCAAAATTGATTTTTTCCCTTCAAAATTTTTACTATTCAAATTTCAACTCAAAATTCAAACTCCCAAACAAACACACCCTATTTAATTAACTTTTGACTAGTCAATAACTAAAAACTGTTAAAGAATTAATTACCAAATACCCTCTTAGTCCTAAAAACTAATGATGAATTTAATTTAAATAGATACCAAACCAAACGGACCATTGTCTAAGTACTCCTCCGTCCCAAATACCGTGTCTGCTACATTGTAAATACGGTATTTTAAAAGGAGTGTAATTAGTAGATAATTAAGAATATATTAGTGAAAATAATTATCCTATAATATAAATAATTATAAATTAAGATTAAGATAACTAATTAGTTTAATTAAAATAAAAAAAAAATAAAATTTAAAAATTTAAAATAAAATTAAAATATATAATTATTTTTTAAAACAATAAGATGACATAACATACGAAACAAACAGAAACTGCAACGTCTACGGAAATTGAGGATTGAGGGAGTAAGTATTTATTTTATATGGAAACTATGTATGACAGGGCAGCTCGCCACAGACCATGCCCCTCTTTCTCTCTCTCTCTCTCTATATATATAATACAACTTCATTCGTCGATATACAGTCAGCTGCTCCAATTCCGTGAATTTTCATCTTGTGACTTTTTCGATTCTGCAGAATGGGTGAGGTACGTACGGAGACAGAGAGAGAGAGAGTAGTCATTTGCTTTTCTCATCATCATGCGTATTATTCTTTATTTTAATGTTTTTTCACTATGTTGATTTTGATTTTGATTTTGCACTTTTGGCTTCCTTCGATTTACTGCAGAAGAAAAAGCAAAATGGCGGAGAGCAAAAGGAGGGGAAGAAGGAGAAAGCAGGAGACGAGAATAGTATCACGGTCGTCTTGAAAACTGATTTGCACTGTGAAGGCTGCGCTTCCAAACTCATCAAATCCATTCGCTCCGTTGACGGTATGTTGAGTAATCGATGTATTGTTGCGATTCCGCTTTATATTTGTTTAGATACACTCCGGTTGTCTCACAGGTGTGAGTGCGGTGACGATCGGAGGTGGAAAGAAGATTACGGTGGTCGGGAATGTGGATCCGGCGGAGCTGCGTGAAAAAGTGGAGCATAAGACACACCAAAAGGTTGAACTCATTGTTTCACCGCAACCTAAAAACAATGGCGACTCTAGCAAAGCAAATGGCAACAGTGAAAATAAGAACAAAAATGAAGCGAAAGATAAGAAGTCTGACGATAAATCCGATCAGAAGAAATCGAAGGAGAAAGAGGTACGTTTCCGTTTCCGATTAATTAAATTTATTCCTACCTCGAAGACGCCATGGATGAGTTACGCCAGGAACTCTAATGCTGCTTACTATCGTGCGCCTGTGGTTTTTCCTGTATTGGTCTTTGTTCCTCACTGCGACGTTGTTTTGCAATGCATTGGTTAGCGTTTGTCCTCTAGTGTTGGTGCGGTGGAAGTTACCGCTGAAAGCGGAAACTCATGGCGACAGCCAGGCGCACGTTATCACCTAGTTGTTACTGTATCTGTGAATATTGCTGGCGACATTTCACATCAAATCCGTAGTGTCTTTTAAAACTTTTGGCGTAATATCCACGTTTCTCCGATTGTCTTCCCCATCAACTGCCCCACATTGATCGGCGCATCAGTTTTCAATTAATTATTCATGAATTTTGGCAGCCACCGGAGACGACGGCGGTGCTGAAGGTGAATCTGCACTGCGAAGGATGCGTCCATAAAATACACAAAACCGTCACCAAAACCAAAGGTAAATTAAAATTCTCCTCCACTAATGATACCTCTACAATATCAATTCTCCGGTACTAATACGCATCTTACAGGTTTCCGCGAGATGAAAATCGATAGCCAGAAGGACCTCGTGACAGTTACCGGCGCCATGGACATGAAAGCTCTGGCTGAGTCGCTCCAAAAGCAGCTCAAGCGAGACGTAGAAATTATTTCGCCTAAGAAGGAGTCAGAAAAAAAGGAGAAAGCAGGCGGCGGCGGCGATGAGGATAAAACGGAAGGGAACAAGATGCAAGCACAGCTGTTTGCGTACCCGAATCCGTACCCGTACCCGTACCCGTTTATGTACGGACCCGGACCTGTGGACCATTTCGGGCAGGGTAATTTTGGCCCGTATCCAGTTGGACCGTACCACGCCCCTCAAATTTTCAGCGATGAGAATCCGAACGCTTGCAGTGTCATGTGAGGGCAACGTTCTATTCGGTATGTAAATAAAAAGTATTGCGAGAGGGCAATTGGGTCATTTCCTTATATTTTGGTAGAATAAGTTGGCCAACTTGACTTTGGTCGCAGTCGTTTTGCTATCCGTTCTGATGCTGCTGGTCATCGATTTTGATCTTCTTTTTTATATATTTATTTATTCATGCATCCATCTATTGTAGACATTAATTAATTATTTATTTAATTTTTAGAAGGGTTTTGTTTTCTTATAACTTTTTGTAGATAGATGCATCGTAATCCTCTTTATAAAGCCGCCATAATTTCCACATTAAAGCCATCCGTCAATCCGTCTAATTTATTATTAGTATGCAGTCCGTTCACTCCGTCCTTTTTGTATGAATTGGATGATTGACGTTTTACAAGGGATACTGTATATATTAAAATGTGCATATATTTGTATTTTTTAACGCAATATTTATGAAGAATTGTTTAATTGAAAAATTTTAAATATATAAACTTATTATTAATTATTTATTATTATATTTTGCAAAATTTTAAAATATCACATGTTCCACTTATCATGTCATGTAAATTAGAAATATTAATATAATACAAATAATTATAAATTATAAATTAAAATAATTAACCAATCTAATTAAAATTAAAAATAAAATTATAGATTAAAAAAATATAAAATATACTCTTGCCCTTCGGAATCAAAAGGAAACTTTTTGGATTTTGTAGTAAATTAATAATAATATTTTGATAGAAATTTGTGTTTTGTATTTTATGTATAAATTAATTTATATATAATGATATATTTGTAATTTTTGTGTAAAAGTTAGAATGTATTTTTGTATTAATGTAATTATTTTTACTCAAATAAAAAATTAATGTTTTTCGAATTGCTCAAATAAAAATAATAAAAGGATACTTTTACTTGAACGGAAGAAATATTATTATTTTTTTAAAAAAAAAATAAATAAAACGTGAAATATAAAACAAACAAAAATAGCTATATAGACCAAAGAAAAATACTCACGGAAGAAATATATTGTCAATAATAATGAGATTAGAGTCTTATAATAGACTCATAATAACTACCCCATAAGAACCTAGTCGAGTTAATACAGATTAGAGCTTAAAATTAGAAAATCTCTAGAAACATCTCTAGCATTATGGTGGTTACTAATTGACTTGTGAAAGTGCTCTTAGAGCATCTGTTATAGTCATTACCTATATTACATTATCTCTTTTATCTCTATCATCCATTTTATATTTATTTCAACATTCAAATTATTTTATTTATTTATCACCCGTTATAGTAAATCACTTCTAACATATTACCTTTATTATTTTATAAATTCACAATAATTTATTTTATTTTTATATATTTTTAATATGTAATAATATATATAATATATAAACAATTTATTTATTTATACATATTTTTTTATATTTTTATTATCTAATAATATTTTTATATAATATTATATTATAATTTTTAAATATTAATCTATATAAATTTTAATAATTGAAATTATTTGAAATAAATCAACATATATATTAATTAAAAATAATATAAAAAATCGTAATATAATATAAAAGTATAAAATAAATATATTAATAACATAATTTAAAAATTATTATTTTTATTATCAAATCGCGTACAACAATTTAATTTAAGAACTGATTGAAAATATCAATATTTTTACTAGTTATTTTATTTAATTAAATATGAAAAGGTAGAGAATTGATTAATGAAATTTAAATATATTTATAGAAAATTTATGTTATTTTAAAATTTAAAATTTTAAAATTTCAAAAAAATTTGATAGTTATTAATTAATTAATTAATTACTTTTTTTTTGGAGGTAATGAGTTCTTAACAAAGGTAATAAATTTTTATAATTGTATTTCTTATTAAATGTAATGAGTTTTGTTATAGTAAAAACGAAAAAGACCATAAAAATAATGAAAAAGACAATTGTGTAACGGATGCTCTTAGAGTGAGGGGCGGATCCACCTTTTGGTGTGTGCTACCAGTGATTTTATTATATTAAAAGAAAATTTTTATAATTTAATAAATGTACTACCACTAAAAAAATTGTAGTGTCCTCACTTAAAATTTAAAATTGCATTATTATTAAAAAAAATTGGTAAATTATTTAAATTTTAAATTTTAAAATATAATCAATACCCAAATAATTAAAATTCAATCCAATTAAAATAATTAATTTATATTTTAAAACAATAATATAAAAAATAATATTATATTATTATTATATTTTAATAAATCGAATCTTATAATTTATTTTATTTTTAGATTTATATATTGTACACCAATAAAAAAATTTTCTGGATAAGCCACTACTTTAGAGGTCAGTGAATACACTCTTTTTGTCACCCCTTTTCATTGTAGAATACACTTCTACTTTCACTCCATATGTAATGTAATTAATTAGTTATTGTTTGGTTGTGTTGGTGGATGGGACCATTTATAGTTTCATGCTTGTGTTGCTTTCCATGCACAGTTGGCTTTTGCCAAACAACAGGGACAAATACAAGTGCCTGGAAAGTGCTTACCAGGCACGCAGTGGAAGCTGAGCCGTTTAGGCAGAGATCTTTGGACAGTTTTAAAATTATAAAAAAATAAAAAATTAATATTTGATTTGATGGAATGTGCTTACCAAACACACAGTGGAAGCTGAGTCGTTTAGATAGAGGTCTTCGGATAGTTTTATAATTATAAAAAAATAAAAAATTAATATTTGATTTGATATTTTATAAAATATATATGTATATATATTTAATATGATATTTTAAAAAAATAAATAGTACTGAAATTGATTGTGTAGAGCCGGTTATTCTCTCTTAATTAAACTATTTAGTTCATCTTAATCTTAATCTATAATTCTTTTTATTAAATTATAATTATTTTTACAAATATATTTATTAATTATTTATTAATTATCTAATACCTAAAACTCCATGGCTAACATAACATGGACAATTTAAGGGAGATAGAGATAATAGTTTCAGGGTTCAGAATTCCTATATTAATTTATTTTTGACAAGTTAAAGATAGGTGAATTGACAAGATTTTTTTTTTTTTTTTTGGCATTATATAATTACTAAAGAAAAGAAAAAGATTGATTTTTTTTTTTGGCATTATAAACGAATTTCTTCTTCCTTATTACTCCCTCAGTCCCAGATATCATGTCCATGTTGCCGTTTCTGTCCGTTCCACATATCATGTCACTTTCCTTCTTTGAAAAATGAGTACACACTTTAATCTCATTTTAAATTTTTAATTTTTTTTTTAAATTTTAATTAAACTAACTAGTTATCTTAATTTTAATTTATAATTATTTATATGATAGGATAATTATTTTTACTAATACATTTTTAATTATCTACTAATTACATTCTTCCTAAAATACAATGTCTACGGTGTACAGACACTGATATCTGGGACGGAGAAAATATTTATTTATTAAATGATTTTTACTTCTTGCTTGTCTTACTATTTGGCACATTACTAGTCTCAAGTCTATTTATTTATTTATTTATTTTAGGATCCCACCACAGCTGGTCCAAGTTCAATGCGCACTGCATGAATTATATTCTTTCCGTCAAACTTTGTAAATTTTTTTTTTGGTATGTCCCAAATATCATGTAATATTTTAAAATAAAAAATAATTAATTATATTTAATATCTACTTCACACTTTATCCCCCACATCATCCAAATAAAATAATAAAATATACATTTCTCTCTCGATCACATTACCTAATTTCTAAGTTATTCTACTTAATATTACTCACCTGAAAATTCGTGCCAAAAATAAATGTTGCACCTTATCTGGAACGAAGGGAGTATTATATATATATATAATATTATTTATGTAAATAAATATATTGGCACTTGTTATGAAAATAAAAGTCTTTTACCATAAATACTTATAATTATTGAATTATATGTACCTCGTGGGGCGGTGTTCCATTTTGTTGGACCCGACAAAAGTGAATGGATTTGGGCTCCACCCGTATTTATATTGGATCTCTCCTTTATTTTTATGTTTATATTTGAAGTTGCGGTTTGCATTTTATTAAAACATTTTAAATTATATTGAGCGAAAGGTCTTTTTTTTTAGTTTCATTTAATTTAATTTGTCAATTCTTTCAAGTATTTATATGTTCTATGTAATTTGTCTGTTTACTTTTGGAAATATAATTTATATTTTAAAATTTATAATTTATATTTTTTTATTTTAATTAAACTATTTAGTTCATCTTAATCTTAATCTATAATTCTTTTTATTAAATTATAATTATTTTTACAAATATATTTATTAATTATTTACTAATTATCTAATACCTAAAACTCCATGGCTAACATAACATGGACAATTTAAGGGAGATAGAGATAATAGTTTCAGGGTTCAGAATTCCTATATTAATTTATTTTTGACAAGTTAAAGATAGGTGAATTGACAAGATTTTTTTTTTTTTTTTGGCATTATATAATTACTAAAGAAAAGAAAAAGATTGATTTTGTATGAATCAAAAATAATAAAATAAATATTTGAAAAATAAATTTTTTTTACATTTAATAGCACGGGTGATTATATTTGAATTATTTCTATGCTATCATTTAAGATCTGTTGTAACTGCAATATTTATCTATTAGTTCTATATTATATATATATTATCTGCACAGATCAATAATATACATAGACCATATTTTTATATGGTATCACAACAGACAATTCATTAATTTTACGATGGCTGCTATTATTCAACTCATTGCTCCTTCCCATTTTCCAATTATCTCGTTTGGAAAACTCAGGTTGAGTCTGTTCTCATTGGACTTAGACATTTTTTATTATGTTGATGGTTCCACACCTGCCCCTGCGAAATATTTAGACGAGGCAAATGAAACCCTCAATCTTGCATACATTCTCTGGTTTCGGCAAGATCGAATAATCCTTAGCGCCTTTCTGGGAAGTTGCTCAGACATTTTTCACCAGGTGATATCCTCTGGACAAACTGTTGTAGATGTTTGGAAGTGCTTGGCCAATAATTTTGCAGCCACGTCTCGCGGTCGTGTGATTTCATTAAAGGCTAAGCTCGCAAAAAATCCGAAAGGGCATCGCTCCGTAACTGATTTCATCCGTGATATGCAGTCTATTTCCGAAAAATTGACCATTGCCCAAAGTCCAATCTCAAGAGATGATTTTGTTGTCCACATTATTACTCAACTTAGGGAT